TCTGGAGAAGGGGTAGGCTGCCCACTCCAGTATTCTTGGGTTTCCCGGGTGGCTCAGCTGGTAAAGAATCCGCCTGCAATGCAGGAGACCTCAGTTCGACCCCTGGGTTGGAAGAAGGGGAAGTCTACCCACTCCAGTATTCTGGTCTGGAGAATCCCATGGACTGTATAGTCCACGGGGTTGCAAAGAGTCGGATAAGACTGAGCGACTTTCACTATCACGTTCTCCTTCTCCCACTGTGCCCACAAGTCTGGATCTCCATTCCGCTGCAAATGAACTGCATTATACAGACTGAAGTAAGTCAGAGAGATAAACAAGTACGGGATATTAACGCATATACATGTGGAATCGAGCAAGATGGTACTGATAGCTTCAAATGTCATTTCTCTTTTATGGATACGAACTTTGTTACACACCCGTGAAACTTTTCTTCGGTTATATAACTTAAATCCTTAATTCTGATTTTCTTCTCGTCTTCTTAATCTGTCATGCTGCCCTCGTTTAATATGCCTGCTATTTCTGGTAACATGGAAGGTTAACTCACTTGACCCAACATTCCTGCTGAAACACTCTGAAAAATGCTGGGTGCGTGTATTTGTTAAGACTCTCCCTACAAGCATCTCAAGACTGACGGGATAACAGGGCACCAGGCTAGGATCTTGAGGACGGCATAAACACACAGAGCCCTGAGACCACTTTTTTTTTCAGAGAATCGTCGGCGAGCTGGTCAGACTTGAGCCACATTTTTGATGTGTCCTCTGATAGGTCCCAAAACAGAAGACACAGGTTTTCATGTCCTTGTCAAGGTCAGGAGTCTAGTGAGACATCTCCCTTCAATCCTCTGGCCACACGACGCAAAGAGCCAACCCAATGGAAAAGACCCCGATGCTGGGAGAGATCGAGGGCAGGAGGAGAAGGGGACGACAGAGGATGCGACGGTTGGATGGCATCGCCGACTCAGTGGACATACATACATCCCATGGAATATTTCAGACAAGTCGTGCATTTAGTGGGTTTCCCCCGTGGCTCAGATGGTCAAGAATCTGCCTGCACTGCAGGAGACCCAGGTTCAATCCCTGGTTCGGGAAGATCCCCTGGAGAAGTGAATAGCTACCCACTCCGGTATTCTTGCCTGGAGAATCCCATGGACAGAGGAGCCTGGCGGGCTACGGTCCCTGGAGTTGCAAAGGTTCAGAAACGACTGAGCGACTAACACTTAACTTGTACTTTAATGGGGCAGCGCCACTTCCAAAGGCATAGCTTGATTTTTAGGAGCGGAAAAGAAAGGGACAAAGCCAGCTGGTGTCAACAAAATGCAAAATGGCCATACCGTGTGAGCAAGAAGTCCTGTTAATCGGGTTTATTCTGAGCAAATAACACAATTACGAGGAGGAGGTGAGTGCAAAGATGGCAACCACAGCACAGTTTTATAGGAGGCTGGACACAGCGCCCGTCGCATTTGATAAAACGAGTGGCTGTCAGCGCAACTAATGGGGGAAGCCATACATAAAATTTTCATGAATGAATATCAAATTAAATATTAGAACACTATAATTACAAACACATTTGCACATCATAATTACTAAAGAAAAGCCTCAGAATAGCGGGGCAATTAGATTGTGCGTGGGAGATGTCTTATTTTAATATTCATGTTGAAATGATTGCATTAGGGTTCTCCAGAGAAATGGAATGAACAGAATATATGTGTGTATATATGTATATGTGTGTGTATACAGCGTACATGTGTATGTGTATACATATATATGTATATATACAGTACATGTGTCTGTATATGTATATGTGTAGACAGTATATGTATGTATATGTGTATATACAGTATGTATGTATACATGTACACATGCATGTGCATACACAGCATACATGTATATATATGTATATGTGTACATACAGTGTATGTATGTGTATGTGTATATACAGTACATGTATGTATATATAGTATGTGTATATATATGTGTGTAAATATGTATATATGTGTATGTACACCACATGTATATATGTGTATGCAGTATATCATGTATAAGTGTATATGTAGGGTATGCAGTATATGTATATAAATATGTTTATATGTCTATATATACCATATGCTTGTGTGTATATATGTGTATGCACTTTATCACATATATGTGTGTATATATGTACATGTGTGTATATACAGTATGTTTGTATGTATATGTACACATACATGCGCATATACAACACACATGTATATGTGTACACACACAGTATGTGTATGTGTATGTATATATAATACATGTATGTATATGTAGTATGTGTGTATATAGTATATGTATGCATGTACATATGTGTATGCAGTTTATCATGTATATGTGTATATATGTATATATGCGTATATACAGTATGTTTGTATGTATGTGTACACATGCATGTGCATACACAGCATACATATGTATATATGTATATGTGCATGTGTACATACAGTATATGTATGTATACATATATATGTATATATACAGTACATGTATGTATGTCTAGTGTGTGTATATATACAGTATATGCATATAAATATGTGTATGTGTGTATATACACTGTATGTATGTATGTATGTACGTGCATGCAGTATATCATGTATATGTGCATATGCATGTATATGGTATATGTATATATGTACACGTGTGTATATGTAGTGTTTGCATGTGTGTATAAATGCATATGTATGTGTGTGTATGTATATACGTTTGTGTGTGTTTACGTATGCATGCGTGCATGCTAAGTTGCTTCTGTTGTTTCTGGCTCTTTGCAACCCTTTGTAGCCCACTGGGCTCGTCTGTGGGGATCTTCAGGCAAGAATAGTAGAGTGGGTTAAATGCGTATGTATGTGTGTATGTGTGTGTGTATGTATATACGTTTGTGTGTGTTTACGTATGCATGCGTGCATGCTAAGTTGCTTCTGTTGTTTCAGGCTCTTTGCAACCCTTTGTAGCCCACTGGGCTCCTCTGTGGGGTTCTTCAGGCGAGAATACTAGAGTGGGTTCCCATGCCCTCCTCCAGGAGGATCTTCCCCACCCAGGGATCACACCTGCATCCCTTACATCTCCTGCCTTGGTGGGCACGTTCTTTACCACCTGGGAAGCCCCTGTATATAGACCCTGATGCTCAGCAAGATTGCAGGCAGAAGGAGAAGAGGGTGACAGAGGATATGGTTGGATGGCATCACCGACTCAATGGACATGGACTTGGGCAAACTCTGGGAGATGGTGAAGGACTGGGAAGCCTGGTGTGCTGCAGTCCATGGGGTCGCAAAGAGTCAGACATGACTTGGCAACTGAACAACAACAATATATATATATATATGTACACACACACACACACACATATAGATAGATAGATAGAGAGATTTTTTAAGGAATTGACTCATGCAATTACATGCAGTTACAGAAGCTGGCAAGTCCAAAATCTGCAGGGTAGACCAGCAGGCTGGAGACACAGGGAAGAGATGATATTGCAGCTCAAGTCCAAAGGACATCTGCTTACAAATTCCAGCTTTCTCTGGTGAGAGCACCGTCTTGTGCTATTCATGCCTTCAAATGATTTGACCAGGCCCACCATGTTCCGGGGAGGGGGGCAATCTGCTCTACTCAAAGTCCAACAATTTAAAGGCTAATCTCGTCCATTAAACACCCCCACAGAAATATCCAGAATAATGTCTGACCACATAGCCTGATACGATGGCCAAAACAAGTAGACATATAAAATTAACACAAGTATTAGGGCTAAAATGAAATACTTAAAAATAAAAAAGTGAAAGTGAATGTAAGGTGGGAAATTGGAAGTAGCCAGAACACAGTTTTTATTATTTTATTTTATTTTTTGGGGGGTGTGGGGGGACTTCCCTGGTGGTCCAGGGACTAAGACTCCAGACTCCCAATGCAGGGGGCCTAGGTTTGATCCCAGGTCAGGGAACCAGATCCCACATACTGCAACTAAGAGTTATCTTGCCATAATTAAACATCCCCACGTGCTACAACTAAAGATCGCCTTAAGTCATGTTAAATCAGACCAAGAGAAAGGAGATCGTGCATGACAATCCAAACTAAACTGTGCATGATCTTAGGTTCTGAGCCTCATAGCTTATTAGCAAAAACATCATCATTAACACCAACATCATGTGAACATCGTGGCCATTATTATGTGAGCAACACCATCATCTTCATCCTAGTATCACCATCACCATCATCATCACCACCATCATCATTATCAAGTCACCATCAACACCATCATCACTAACGTCACCATCATCATGTCATCATCTGCACCATCACCATCATCCTATTGTCACCATCACCTTCATCACCACCATCACCAGAATCATGTCATCATCAACACCATCCCCTTCATCCCTTCATCACCAACATCATCGTCATCACTATCACATGACATCATACCATTATTGTATTATCAACACCATCACCTTCATCCTATTATCACCACCATCAGTATCACCAACACCATCAGCTTTATCCTAGTATCACCATCACCATCAGCATGATCATGTCACCATCAGCACCCATCATGATCATGTCATCATCAACACCATCACTTTTATCCCTTCATCACCAACATCACCATTACCATCACATGACATCATTGCCAGCATCATCATATCATCATCACCAACATCACCAGCTTTATTCTATTAACACCATCACCATCAGCATTATCATGTCACTACCAACATTCATCATGATCACAGCATCATCAGCACTGTAACCTTCACACCGTCGTCACCAACATCACCATCATCATGTCCATCATCATCGCCATCACCATCATCATGTCATCATCAACATCATTAGCATGCTGTCATCAGCACCATCACCTTCATCCTCTTATCGCCATCACCATCATCACCATCACCTTCATCCTACTATTGCCATCAGTATCACCACCATCAGCACCACCACCATCATCCAAGAGGCTCCGAATCCCCGTGGCGACTCATCAGAGCCTTTGCCACTGACCTGAAAGGACTGTTTTCCTCTTTTCTTCATCCCAGAAGCACAGTCATCTGACGGATGTTTTCCTCCGGGCGGTGGAGCCTCCTTGGTGGCCTGAAAACAAGGGAAAGTGATGATCAGATGTCCTTGTGAGACAGCCTCTAAGCGGCCCCAAAACAAATCGGTCTGGCTTGAGCCTCCTACGTGATTTTCAGGGCAGTTTCACCTCCCTACCCTCATTCATCGTGTGTCACAGCGTGGTTCCTTGGGAATCAATTCTCTTTCTCTCCTTTACGTTCCCTTCAACAAATACCGGTTTCTCTCTGGAGGAACTGACTGTCCTCAATAAGCAGAGGCAGAGAAATGTTCATTTCTGTTATTTTGCCCTTCCGAGAAAAATGACAGGAGTAAGCGTGAGCCATCACTGCTGTGGCCGCATTGAAGGCAAAACACTCAGGTGGCCCCATGCACTGATTTTTAAACAGTAGCTTAAGAAGTAGGGCTTCCCTGGTAGCTCAGCTGGTAAAGAATCCGCCTGCAATGCAGGAGACCCAGGCTCTATTCCTGGGTTGGGAAGATCCCCTGGAGAAGGGATAGGCTACCCACTCCAGTATTCTTGGGCTTCCCCTGTGGCTCAGCTGGTAAAGAATCTGCCTGCAATGCGGGAGACCTGGGTTCGATCCCTAGGTTGGGAAGATCCCCTGGAGAAGGGAAAGGCTCTCCACCCCAGCAGTAGGGTGTGTACCTGTGACACTGAACTCATATAGAAGTCAGAGAAAGGGTCCACCCAAACTATGCTAGGAAAACTTGCTGGGGAAGTGTTGGAAAGGAAATTTTAAAACAATGCTGTTGCTCAGATCAGACATGGCTGCTCAGATCAGAAATGGTTGCTCAGTTCGGACATGTCTTCGTGGGACTGAAGTCTCCCCTTGCCCATGGGACCCATGGAGGGGCAACAGAAAATCAAAGGCTCCAGATATGTCAATATTTGAGCTGCTGTGGCGGACAGTTGCACTAATGTGGCCTCATTAATGAGGGCTTGGCAGGGTACTGTTGGCCAAGCAAGACCCCGAGACCCAAACATTAGTGAGCCTGGAAGGAGGGCTGAGCTGAAATCAGGGACTCAACAAAGGCAGCCAGAGACTCCACGGGTCCAAACAGCTATTCAAGCAGAAAGATGGCCCAGACTGCCAAGGTGACACAGCCGGCTGTCTGTTCAAGGTGGGTGGAGCCTGGTGAAAACCTCGGGCAGGAAAACTTCGGAAAATGAGGCGAGAGGCTTGTGCCACTGTAATGAGCTGTCGTCCACCCACCCAACCACTCACCATCCATTCATTGATCCATCCATTCATTCATTCATCCATGCATCCCTTCACCATCCACTGATTTATGCATCCATCCACAAATCCATCTAACCACACATCCATCCATCCATCCGCCTACCCAACCACTCACCATCCATTCATCTATCTATCCATCCATTCATTCATCCATGCATTCATTCACCATCCATTCATCATCCATTCACTTACAAATCCATCCACAAATCCATCTAACCATCCATCCGTCCATCCACCCGGCCATCCATTCATCTATGTATCCATCCATCCATCGTCCATTCACTTATGCATCCACCCGCATATCCATCTAACCATCCATCAATCCACCTACCCAACCACTCACCATCATTCATCTATTTATCCATCCATCCACTCATCATCCATTCACTTATGCATCCATCCACAAATCCATCTAACCATCCATTCATCCACCCACCCACTCAACCATCCACTCATCTACGTATCCATCCATTGATCTATTTATCCATCCATTCATTCATCCATCCATTTACTTATGCATCCACCCACCCATCCACTCACCACCCATTCATCCATTCATCTATTTATCCATCCAGTCACTCATCTATCCATTAATCATCCATTCACTTACGCATCCATCCACAAATCCATCTAACCATCCATCCGTCCATTCGCCATGCCCCCATCTACATATCCATTCACCACGCATCCATCTATTCATTCACCCATTGACCCACGCAACCATCCATCCACTGATCCATCATCCATCCACTCGGGCATTCATCTACTAATCCACCCATCATCCATCCATTTAACAAGCGAGCATGATACATGAGGAACTTCCCCAGCCTTGGGGACTCAAAGGCATAAAGACGCGGTCCAGTCGGCAGAACTCCAGGCTCCCAGTCAAGGCTGAGGCTCCAAGAAGAAAGAACCCGGAGACACAGGGAAGGGAGATGAGACTGAGTGAGTCAAAATCTAGGCTGTGGCAATCTCTCGCTGCAGAAGGATGATGGATCACAAGGACCGGGATGGACCATGTCGTCAAGCTCAACTCAGCCTCCGGCGATCAGCACCAAGGCACCTCCTTCTCGGGCAGCCTCATGGGAATGCAGACCACATTTGACCTTGTCCACAAAGGTGTTGCTTCAGAAAGGGCTTCCTCCATGGGGAGCTTTCAAGCTCACTCGTGGTTTTTCCAGGACTCATTGGAAAAGACCCCAAAAGACGGAGGACAAGAGGAGAAGAGGGCAACAGAGCATGAGATGGTTGGATGGCATCACTGATTCAACAGACATGAGTTCCAGCAAACTCCAGAAGATGGTAAAACTCAGAGAGACAGTTACTGCGGGGAAAAATTAGCTCAGTGATTTGAGCTGTTAGGATGCAAGCTCTGGGGTGCAGAGCCCCCTGGAATGAGTAACCGCCAACTGCCAGGCTTGGATAAGGGCAGGGTTAGAAAGGGAGAAGAGACGTGTCCAGCTGACTCTCTTTGTCCATAAATGGACGTAGACGGGGACAAGGAAATACGCTGCTTCTCACTTCCCAGGTGTCTCAGTGGGTAAAGAATCTGCCTGCCAAACAGGAGATGAGGGGTCCATCCCTGGGTTGGGAAGATCCCCTGGAGAAGGAAATGGCAACCCACTCCAGTGTTGTTGCCTGGAGAATCCCAGGGACAGAGGAGCCTGGCGGGCTGCAGTCCATGGGGTCCCAAAAGAGCTGGACACGACTTAGTGATTGAACAACACAGGCTAGGGAGAGTCTGAAAGACTTCCTTTAACCTAGGAAGGGAAGCTTCTACTATGCTTCCTTCTAACGACAGTGTTTCAGATGGGGCTATCGCAAGGCATCTTTGCCACACAACCTTGACGGCCCAACACGTAAGGCTGCCGGAGAATTAAGACAGTGAGATCCGCAGCTTCGTAGGCGCTCTGTAATGACCTAGAGGAGTGGGATGGAGGGCTGGGAGGGAGGTTCAAGAGGGACAGGATATATGTATACGTATGGCTGAATCACTGAGGAAGGCTTTCTGTTAAAATAGCCCAACTCTCACAGACGTATCCAAAATCACTGCAGACGGTGACTGCAGTCATGAAATTAAAAGATGCTTGCTCCTTGGAAAGAAAGCTATGACCAACCTAGACAGCATATTAAAAAGCAGAGACGTCACTTTGCCAACAAAGGTCCGTCCAGTCAAGACTATGGTTTTTCCAGTGGTCATGTATGGATGTGAGAGTTGGACCATAAAGAAAGCTGACTGCCGAAGAATTGATGCTCTTGAACTGTGGTGTTGGACAAGACTCTTGAGAGTCCCTTGGACTGCAAGGAGATCCAACCAGTCCATCCTAAAGGAGGTCAGTCCTAGGTGTTCATTGGAAGGACTGATGCTGAAGCTGAAACTCCAATACTTTGGCCAGCTGATGCGAAGAGCTGACTTATTGGAAAAGACCCTGATGCTGGGAAAGATTGAGGGCAGGAGGTGAAGGGGACGACAGAGGATGAGAAGGTTGGATGGCATCACTGACTCTATGGACATGAGTTTGGGTAAACTGTGGGAGTTGGTGATGGACAGGGAAGCCTGGCGAACGGCAGTTCATGGGGTTGCAAAGAGTCGGACACGATTGAGCAACTGAACTGAACTGATATCTGAGTCACTTTCCCATATAGCAGAAACTAACGCAACATTGTAAATCAACTGTACTCCAATTTACAAAAAAAAAAAACCAACCTGAAATGCTATGCTCATCTCTCACTCCAGGGATGCAACCAGCCATCTGTTGAATGCAAAGCAAGAGTCTGCCCAGAACTGCTTAATTGCAGAGCTGGGGAACACCCAAAAGTCTGATTAACGGAACCTGGCTCAGTTCTCCTGCAGGCAGATGGAAACATGACTGAGACTTAATAAGCAGGAATCCGGTTAATCGTATTTTCCCGGGTGTGCGCAGAGACTGAGCTAATTAGAGGAGAAGCAGGCGGTTCCAGTCAATCCCGTCCAGAGTGTGCAGTGGGACACTGGAACAGGCATCTGATGCATGCTGGTAGTGACGGACACAACTCAGCATCCTTAGAGTCTCATATTAACAAGAGGGTCAATTCCTAGGCAGGTTGGCGAGACGTCTGCAGTCCCCGAGGAGGACGGAGGGTCTGGGATCTCAAAAAAGAGGCAAGGGTCTGGGATTCTTAAGGAGGGGGAAAGGACAACCTCTTTCTTCTTTACATTCCTTAGCCTACATTCCTTGGCATCACCGACTCGATGGACCTGAGTTTGAGCAAACTCCGGGAGTTGGTGATGGACAGGGAGGCCTGGCGTGCTGCAGTCCATGCGGTCCCAGAGAGTCGGACATGACTGAGCTGAACTGAACTGAACTGCCTTACTCTTAGTCACATAAGTGTTTTTCTTTAACTGATGATTACAAAACAAAACAACTCAGCTTAAACTCTGCACTGGGGATTATACAACAACAGTGTATCCTGGTTGAGGACCGTTGCTCCTTCCTGAAAACCTTCTGAGTAATTCTGTTATCTTAAAATGTATATTACGGGAGTGGGTCTGGTAAGATCTTTCTGTTGTTAAGTTCTAACCCTGTTGCCTTAAAATGTAAATTGTGGGACTGGGTCCAGCAAGATCTTTACAACCTTGAGACATGCTTTTGATTTATTGTATGCTGCTGCTGCTGCTAAGTCGCATCAGTGGTGTCCGACTCTGTGCGACCCCATAGACGGCAGCCCACCAGG